CAACATCAATGACTGGACTGAGGATCGCAGGACTGAAGGAGGGAGGGAGGAGATGAGAGGCACTTGGGGTGATGCACATGAGGGCTGTAAAGAGAGGGGGGATTAAACCAGCAACAGGTGTGACTCGTTAGAGGGAGAGAATGAGGGGGAAGGGATGCAGGGTGTGACAATGCCCCCCCCAATGCACGCTAGGCAGACTGGGGCTGGGACCCCACAGGGACCAAACAGTTCTGCTACAGGATCCTAACGTAACATAATATAAATAGTTAAATAAATGCTTTTATTTGCCATTTGCACAAGTACAATGGAATCTCTTTGCCTGCCCTATCTTACTCTTCATACCTTGGAGGTCACTGCACAGGGTCAGCCAATGTGTGGCACTCCTGGAGCTGGGGGTTAAGGGTCACTGACTTGAACACTGAGACACTGAGACTTAACCTGCTGAGCCACTAACTGCCCTCGTATGCTAAGTTCAGTGCTGGGGAAGTTACTTGCAGAATGTATTCCATTACAGACAGAGAGAGAAATGTCAGATCCAGAAAGTACAAATTTTCTCATGCCTAATTAAACCAACTGAATTCGTTTCATTTAAATTAAATTAGATATATAATCTAACAGCAGCTGTGGTTTATTTCACCCACCGTCATGAAGAAGACTCTGTGTGTTTCACATTTTTTGTGCGACTGTGGGTGGGAGAGAGTGATGCTACTTGTTGACGGGGAGATGGGTAGGGGGAGGGAAAAAGGAGGATATGACTGTCTGTGCACATAGCGTGTCGGCCATCTTGGAGTAATCGAAGTGATTCGTGATACGGTAGTACAGCGTGCAGTTTAAATGGCCAGGGAACACAGGGAGAAAATGGTTCATTTCTGTACTATTGTTGGTTGTAGCAACACCGGTGGAAGGGACCAAGTGTCATTTTACCGTTTACCGGCGGTAATTTGTCATCAAGATGAAAAAACAAGAGATCTGTCGACAAGAAGACGTCAAACTTGGCTGTCAAGGACCCCATGTTATGCGATCCTGATCTTGTATCTGTTCTTCAGATCAGATCTTAATTAAAGCTTGTGTCACTTCATTTGTCCATACCCATGCACGTATACTGGGACAAGGACAGTAGTCCGACTAAATGCTGTAGTCAAGCTATAACTGTAGCTCGACTTAGCTGTGCATGTAAACGTACCGACTTACTAGCGAACCAAAACTAGCGAATCTCCACCATTAACATCATACAATCATACCACCAGGAACAGAAATATCTGACTTCCAAATGGTTTAGGGAAAGTTTATATTCTTCATTGGATTGTTGTCAGTCTCAACTCCCAGCCTCTTGCCCGAGACCATCACAAAGGCTAAGGCAATCAGTAGAATTTTTCAGTAGATCTCAAATTCATCACAAATGTGTAGATGGTTGTAAATAATGGAAATACTTCTGATCTGAAATTATTCCACCATATTTTCTTCTAACTTCTGCACAGTAATTTATTTCTAAATCCTTTATTTTATTATGCTAATACAACAGATTTTACCTCTCTGATGGTGCCTATTCAGTTCTGTCTGACTGGGGTAGCCCTCATTTCCCTGTCTGGTATTACACTGACACCTAAAATGTAACAGATGACTTTCATATCCCATCTCTCATTTGACAGAAACACCATTTTGGCGATGTCATTAATAATAGCGGGAGAGTTGTCTCTGATTTACTGAATAAGCAAAT